TTTATACTGTATTCTTATGGAGTTTCGACAGAGTGCAGATTTTCATGGCGCCTTTTATGCGTTACGACGTGACGTTGACATATGACGTGTATATTGTGTATTGTCTACGTTGCCATGGACAGTGGCAACCGCATCCTCACTACCATCAAAGCGATGTCACATTGCGACTGATGAACCGCAGAAATTTTTCAAAAGAAAAAAGGTAGGGAAAGTAATAAAAAAAGTTGTATGGTTTAGTGCGTAATATAGGGTGCAATCTGTATTGGTTGGCTATCGTTCCCGCCTTTCATTTATTTTCAGCCTTTCCTTGACTGCACAATCCCAAGTCCCCAAACGTAAGTGGGAATACATGTACAAAAATACAAAGCATATATATTTAGAATGCATTTAATTGTTTTGTACATTGTCTGTAAAATGAAGTTGCGTGTTGAAAAAATGTAAGAAACAATTAGATGTCATCGATTAATAGAAACATAAATTCAAAATCATACAAACGCAGTGGTATTTTATCTCTTCACACTGATCACCCGTTCACTTATTTTCTTTTCATTGTCTTTCGAAGAATCTCCCTTTATGCATGCTTTGTCGTCCAAATATACAATATTACCTCATACAAGTAATCTCTTCAAATGCTAGTTCACATCTAACAAAACTAAATTGGTATAGAAATGCAGTCTCTATAACGTCGTATTTGGAAAATTTATGAAGTCCAGTTTACATGTACAGATTTTATCCTCGTCATCAAAAATTACATTTCGGTTGTGAAATTAACCAAACAACTAACACCTTGTGTGACTTTGACATTTACCGCTCTTCCCTGCTACGAAAATAAATTTCCCAATAACTTCAAAAACATGACCCATTTATTTAGCTTTTCCCTATACTTTTAATGTTCATTGACTAATGCGACTTCAGATAAAGTATGGGTATTTTGCTGATGACGTCATACCAGCGGTTTTTGGGGTGAGAATGTTATTCTCGATTTATTGATTGATTTATTTCCCGGGCTCTTATAGAAAAAATTCAGTGGATAGTAGGAGCCGCGCATGAGTACTACTAAGGGTAGCCACCGACTTTTTGAAAATCTCTCCGTTTAGATTCTATCACTTGTTACATTCGTTCACACCAATTTTCACTGGACCTTTCTAAATACAATGTAAATCACATCGGTTCAAAAGTTGCTATCAACAAATTGCACCCGATTGGTCTTCATACCTTTGTCAATAACTACACCATTTTTGGTGATTTTATCTGAAGCGGTTACGTTGTTATTCCCCGCACCGATTGCTATCTACACGCAATTAATATTATGTGCTTCCTGGTTCTTCCGCAGGCAGGAGCGGGTTCAAGTTTATTTGAAGGGGGAGTGGGGGGACGCGGAGGCGAAGCCCCCCCTCCCACTTGGCGTGGGGTTCGCCCCCCCCCCCAAAAAAAAAAAATAAATAAATAAAAAAATAATAATAATAATGTATTTTACAGGGATAACGGTGTCATTTGGTACGGCTTAGAACTATGATTCAGCTGGTCAAATTTCTAATTTCAAGAGGGGACCAGAAATCGAAGGGGAGGGGTCAGCCCCCCCGCCCCCCCCCCCTCTAAATCCGCCACTGCGCAGGTAAAAGTGACACCTGACTACGAAGCATGCCCTATCTGTCAGCACCATTCCTACGTATAAAGGTATATGCAAGTTATCCAATAATATCGCTTAAGTATGGATTTTGCGTATTAGTATAAAAAGGAGAGTAGCTACAAGACAGAAGACACGATACTGGTATTCAATTTATATACGAGAGATATTTTTGAAATACAATTCCTAGACAGAGCGTACGCAGAAAAAAATACTAGTCGGTTTATTGTGCCTTTCAGCTCATTTAACGCAATGGGAATTTCTTTCAGGGTTCCATTACCCAGACAGTTTTTTTTTGTAGTCCAACTAAAATGCAGTCTGAAAAAGAAAGCCATGGGCATTGGCGCAATTTTATACGTCACGACGTGACGTTGACATATGACGTGCTTATTGTGTATCATTGCTTACGTTTCCATGGACAGTGGCAACCGCATTCTCACAAGCAGAAAAGTGTTGTCACACTGATGAACCGCGGATTTTCAAAAGAAACAGGTAGGCAAAAATAGTAAAAAGACAATTTCTACCTGTACACTTGGTATAGTGGTTTAAGTCTATCCTTTTCTTCACTAGCACAAAACAGACAAACAAAAAACCAAGCGGGGAAAATAGGTCAAGCTAATAATGTAAAATTCGATTAAAGTTAACAAAAGTTTATCTTCTGTTCATTTGGAACAGTATATTTGCTTGTAAAAGGAATATTAGACAATGTATTCTAGAGTGCAGTTTTTAATATTATTCAAAACTTGGGTAAAGCACGGTCTGTGGGTGTTGGGACACCACCCGCTGGATGTTTTGGCTTCATTCAGTTATTACATTCTTTGCTTTGTTTTTGGATTGAATAGTGTTTCTTAATGAAATGTCTTTTTTAGCATTAATGGCACTTTGAATCTCCGTGGATATTGTGGTATGTGGTAAGACAAGCAAAATCTCACATGGAGGGAAATTTTGCATAAACTTCAACTCCTGTATGGATTTTGGTACACAACTTTCTTTTTCAGGCAACAGCCTAGATGAAATTCAATTTAGATTAGAGGAAAAGGTATGTTGGAAAGTGGAAAAAAAATTACAGAGTTGTTGGAACAATGTAAGTATTTGAAGTGTTGACAACTGCTTTGCAGGTGAACGTGCTTCACTGTTGTTAAACAAATGTATATTTAAAGGTTATTATCTTTAGTTCATTTAAAAATAAATGGTTGCTTGTAAAAGGAATATTAGCCAATGTGTTCTTAAGTACGGTCTGTGGGTGCTGGGACACCACCCACTGGATATTTTGGCTTTATCCAGTTTAAACATTCTTTGCTTTATTTGCATTGGACAGTGTTCCTTATAATTTGAGTCTTATAACAAATAATGTCCTTACTAATTATGGCATTTGTTAAATAGATTGTCTATTTGATAAGATATGGTGAAGAAATATTATTGAAAACTTGAGCAAAGCACGGTCTGTGGGTGTTGGGACACCACCCACTGGATGTTTTGGCTTCATTCAGTTATTACATTCTTTACTTTGTTTTTGGATTGAATAGTGATTCTTAATGAAATGTCTTTTTAGCATTAGTGTCTTTTTTAGTATTGTGGTATGTCACATTGCTTTATTTGCATTGGACAGTGTTTGACTTGTAATTATTTTCTTGACAGAAATAAAATTGAAATTCTGTTCTATATAAGACACACCAATGCAAGAATTAAAATCAATTTTTGTCATTTTAATGTAATCAAAAGTAGTAAGGTAATTGAAGTTCATATTTACTGCTCTTTTATGCCTTCTTTCTTGTGTTTTACCTTTTCATATAACAATTTACAAAGCAAAATGGGTAATTAGCTTCCAATTGTAATTCTTAAGTTTGTCAGAAGCACCATACAAATTCTAGCATTTCCCACCATTTGTATCAAAGAAAGACAAGGCTTAGCTTATCTTGCCATCAGTCTTTTACAATTGGAGTACAACATGACAGTTCACTGGAACTTTTTAGTTAAAAGAGTCTTGCAGTTATTCTGTTGTAGTGAGCTTAAACAGATAGTTATCTGGGACTGTGATGTATCGAATCCATCTCTGAGGCAGATAGGAATGCTCGCGTTCAAACACTCGAAGGAATCGCACTTGAAGGCCTGAGCAAACATGATTGGATAACTCGAAGTCAAGTGTCGCTGGGCCAACCTCTTCACTGTTCAGCAATTTCTTGTCTTGGGAAATTAACTGTGAAAACAAACTTCAAAGTTTGAGAAATTCAGATTTTGAACAATTGTTTTAATAATAAATGGTTGGATTTAAATGATTTTATGACAAATGGATGGTTTTATTTTGGAAAAATACTAAAATTTTAAAAATCATTTAATTTAATAAGTGTTGGACACTAGTATGAAGAATCAGTATATAGAATGTAAGAGAGTCTTACTCCACTCCCTCAACCTTTATTTATGCTTTGGAACTGTAATATCAGCCATAAAGCAATATTATTATGAGTACCTACCATAAATCTTGACGCAGCCTCTGAACCCCCTTCAATCCTTTTAATTTGCCAAAGCATGCATTTTTCCTCTTGTTTAAGTATGGCTGACTGACCTGGGCAACTGAACTGTTGAGTGATTCTGAAAATTATGGCAACCAGATTCTTACTTTTCCATTTTGTCTAACATTGTATAATTTTTCTTCAAAATTTCACACCTAGATTTGTAATACAAATGTGACATATTTTGTGTGATGTGATAAAAAATGTGTCACTGAAAAATGAGATTATCTTTGTATCCACATTCTTCAACATAGGGTGACTTTGTTTTTTTTTTTTTGTTTTTTTTTGGTTCAGTTTATTTAAATATAATATTTTCATCATTTGACTAAGATGCTATTATATCATGTCAATATAAGTTACTCTATCACTTCTGTCAATTCGGATACACTACACATAATTTACTGTTTTTAAAGGTCCTGTTTCTCCACATAAAATATATTTAACATACAAAATACAACATGCATCAATCAGCACCTAAACAAACAGGAAAAAAGTTGTTAAAACCAACTATTAAACTAAAAAAAAGTACCTATTCACTGGAAGAATGTTAGTAGAAAACTAGGTATGCTCAAAGTGCACAAATGAAATGAAAGCATAGAAATTGTGGCTATCAACCAGAACTTTTGCCACATGTTGATTAAGCATAGAGCACATGCTGCATGTAGTTGTCACCTTAATGTCAATCTTAGAACATCAAATGTAAAAGTGAGTGACAAAACATAATTCCCTTTCTTCTAGTTCACACATATTTACCTTCCTGTCTCCCGTGGCACATGAATTTTTAGTCCTACGTTAACAGCGTGGGCTGACGGAGCAAGCTCGCAGCGTAGCTTTAGATGTAGCTCAAGATTCCTAGTGCTACAAAAGGATAACACAATTCTTGCATCCAGTCTATGTTATGTGTCTATAATACTGAAAAATAATGCCAATGAACATCCCAAAAATGACTGTATTATCTCCTTTCAGTAAAATAAAACAGATAATAGCTTTTTTGGTTCCAGATATCCAGAAAAGAGAGGGGGACAGGAGAAAGAAAGGATGTGACTTTTACCTTGAGAATTCAATGCGATGGGTAAGTCTGAATGGTAAATTTATCAGGTTTTCTCCACCAATGTGATAAGTCATTACCACAAGCTGTAAGGTACAAACAAACATAATTCTCTTTATTATTTGTGACGCAGAATAAAATATCACTTCATATACTGTCAATCATTTGACATAATCCATGAAATAGTTTAATTGTATTTTACCTTCATCTATTTTCTACAATAAAAACAATTATGACCCGACAATACTTTATTGCTTCACAATATTGTCTGGTGTAACCTTTATTCTCAGAGTGGAATAAATTATTTTCTTCTCCGCACAGATGTAATATATTGGTTATTTTCAATATCAAACTCCTTTCATCAATTATAAATTTTTGTGAACTTATCAGTTTATTTAGACAGGAACATATATACCTCTCCTTCTGTGGGCTTGATTCCTAGCACTCGATTGTTATCAAATTCCTTGAGGTCTATACTTGGATGAAAGCTACAATCATCCATCTGAACTTTGTTATAACCTAGGTAAAAGAATATCCACATATGAACATCAAACAATCAGACATACAGATATAAGTATCAGACAATAAATAATTTGGCCACAAAGTAATTGTTAACAGACAGTGAAAGCAACAGACATTTGGCTAGCGAAGTCTCATGTAAATTACATTTGATGCTTACGGCTTTGCATTATAAATGGCAAAACTATTATAAGTTAGTATATGAGACTTAACTGAATCGGGCGTTAAGTTTTTGTTATACTTTCAAATGCCCATTCTGAACCTTGGTGCCACATAGCTGCAAACTTACACATGTTTTGAAAGAAGCATAAAACTTTTCAATTTTTTCCCTAGGCATCCTGTTCTATGGACATGCCTATACAGTACCACAATAAACAAGTCCAAAGAAGATGCAAGTCAAATTAAAACAATACAACCCACATAAAAACCATGTCCAATTCGCAAGAGGCAATTCTTGCATAATAAGGTAAAAATATAAGAAGTGCTGAAATTATGGGAAAAAATTCCTCAAGTCTAAATTTCAACATCTAAGGTGCCTTTTAAAATTACTGTTTAAACAAATCCATCATGAAAAACTCTGCTAAGAACTCTTGCAAATTTCATCCCTTACATTCCATACCTTTCTGCTTTCCCTTTGTTATTGTCAGATCTTCAGATAAACCCATCTTGATCACTGGAGCACCTGCTAAGAAACTTTTCATGTTAACTTGACCACTGACCTCAGCTCTAGACAGGGAGCCCTGAAATACATATAATATAAATTGTCTATTTGGATGTGCAACATTATGCCCTAAAACCTTCACACACACTCTTTAGATAACATTTAATTGTTCAAAATACTTGCAACATGCAGATTCAAAAGATCATAACTGAAAGCAGATTAAGGGAGAGTATATGTCCTTCCCTTAGCTTCTGAGATCACTCCTTTTCCTGCAGACAACATATATATATATATATTTTTTTTTTTTTCGTCCATGTGCCATATTCATTATGGTAAAATGGTCCTCAACTACTGTCTGACATTTGCTAAGTGAGCAAAGCAAGTTTCCCACCCTCCATTCTCAGGAAAATCCTGAATCTACCATTTAAAATTTATTCTATGTGACTGAGTAAGATAGGTTTATGCTTAAGTATGTTTACCTTTCTTGATAGCAAAATTATTTTTAAATACATGTATATATCATCTTGACTACAAATTCACGTTCAGAAGTGACACATATTTTGTCATTAGATCCCACAAAGACTATCCCAATGAACAGAACTTACATCAGCATCAACCACAGCTGTCACCCTTTCCACTATATCCACAAATATTTCATTGTTTCTCTTTTCCTGAAAAAGAAAATAAGATTAATTTGTGTATGGAATAACCTTTGTTGAAGCCTTTTTGGTGTTATTCACCTTATGGGATAATTGACCCTTATTGATGTGACTTACATATCTCAATGTACAAGCACCTGCAAGGCCCTAGGGTGCCACATTGTTTTTTAAAATTTGAAAAATGATAGTATTGTCTAAATAAAAATATTTAATTAATCCAATATGATAACATAAATGTGAGGTATGTAGGTTTCATATCATACTTTCTGGCCCCAAAAAATCAGAAATCTGCTGACAGTTGAAAAAATCCCATTACTGTCGTAAACATCAACACATCAACACCACCCAAAAAGTTGGAAATCTGGCGTGAACATGTTATAAATAAATAAATAAATAAAGATGTTTCAAATCACTCCGACATCTGCCTAGCATAGCTTAACCTGCATTAGGATTTGACTGACTAGGTAACTTAACAGGACTGCTTGTGAAAATTGAGTTATAAGGAAAATTTTCAGAAGCATAACACCATGTAGTTTTTGAATAATCTAAATGTTTCTTTTTAAAATAAAATTTCAATTCCTTCATTGATTTCTCAAATACCTGATCTTGTCTGCTCCGTANTCCGTGGATATTGTGGTATGTAGTAAGACAAGCAAAATCTCACATGGTGGGAAATTTTGCATAAACTTCAACTCCTGTATTTATTTTGGTAGATAACTTTCTTTTTCAGGCAACAGCCTAGATGAAATTCAATTTAGATTAGAGGAAAAGGTATGTTGGAAAGTGCAAAAAAATTAAAGAGTTGTTGGAACAATGTAAGTATTTGAAGTGTTGACAACTGCTTTGCAGGTGAAAGCACAGTCTGTGGGTGTTGGGACACCACCCGCTGGATGTTTTGGCTTCATTCAGTTATTACATTCTTTGCTTTGTTTTTGGATTGAATAGTGTTTCTTACTGAAATGTCTTTTTTAGCATTAGTGTCTTTTTTAGTATTGTGGTATGTCACATTGCTTTATTTGCATTGGACAGTGTTTGACTTGCAATTATTTTCTTGACAGAAATAAAATTGAAATTCTGTTCTATATAAGACACACCCAAAAATAGACACTAAAAGTTTGACCAATTCAAGAATTAAAATCAATTTTTTTCATTTTAATGTAATCAAAAGTAGTAAGGTAATTGAAGTTCATATCTACTGCTCTTTTATGCCTTCTTTCTTGTGTTTTACCTTTTTATATAACAATTTATAAAGCAAAATGGGTAATTAGCTTCCAATTGTAATTCTTAAGTTTGTCAGAAGCACCATACAAATTCTAGCATTTCCCACCATTTGTATCAAAGAAAGACAAGGCTAAGCTTATCTTGCCATTAGTCTTTTACAATTGGAGTACAACATGACAGTTCACTGGAACTTTTTAGTTAAAAGAGTCTTGCAATCATTCTGTTGTAGCGAGTTTAAACAGATAGTTATCTGGGACTGTGATGTATCGAATCCATCTCTGAGGCAGATAGGAATGCTCGCGTTCAAACACTCGAAGGAATCGCACTTTAAGGCCTGAGCAAACATGATTGGATAACTCAAAGTCAAGTGTCGCTGGGCCAACCTCTTCACTGTTCAGCAATTTCTTGTCTTGGGAAATTAACTGTGAAAACAAACTTCAAAGTTTGAGAAATTCAGATTTTGAACAATTGTTTTAATAATAAATGGTTGGATTTAAATGATTTTATGACAAATGGATGGCTTTATTTTGGAAAAATACTAAAATTTTAAAAATAATTTAATTTAATAAATGTTGGACACTAGTATGAAGAATCAGTATATAGAATATAAGAGAGTCTTACCCCACTCCCTTAACCTTTATTTATGCTTTGGAACTGTAATATCAGCCATAAAGCAATATTATTATGAGTACCTACCATAAATCTTGATGCAGCCTCTGAACCCCCTTCAATCCTTTTAATTTGCCAAAGCATGCATTTTTCCTCTTGTTTAAGTATGGCTGACTGACCTGGGCAACTGAACTGTTGAGTGATTCTGAAAATTATGGCAACCAGATTCTTACTTTCCATTTTGTCTAACATTGTATAATTTTTCTTCAAAATTTCACACCTAGATTTGTAATACAAATGTGACATATTTGTGTCTGTACATAAAAAGTACCTATTCACTGGAAGAATGTAAGTAGAAAACTAGGTATGCTCAAAGTGCACAAATGAAATGAAAGCATAGAAATTGTGGCTATCCACCAGAACTTTTGCCACACGTTGAATAAGCATAGAGCACATGCTGCATGTAGTTGTCGCCTTAATGTCAATCTTAGAACATCAAATGTAAAAGTGAGTGACAAAACACAATTCCTTTTCTTCCAGTTCACACATATTTACCTTCCTGTCTCCCGTGGCACATGAATTTTTAGTCCTACATTAACAGCGTGGGCTGACGGGGCAAGCTCGCAGCGTAGCTTTAGATGTAGCTCAAGATTCCTAGTGCTACAAAAGGATAACACAATTCTTACATCCAGTCTATGTTAAGTGTCTATAATACTGAAAAATAATGCCAATGAACACCCCAAAAATGACTGTATTATCTCCTTTCAGTAAAATAAAACAGATAATAGCTTTTTTGGTTACAGATATCCAGAAAAGAGAGGGGGACGGGAGAAAGAAAGGATGTGACTTTTACCTTGAGAATTCAATGCGATGGGTAAGTCTGAATGGTAAATTTATCAGGTTTTCTCCACCAATGTGATAAGTCATTACCACAAGCTGTAAGGTACAAAACAAACATAATTCTCTTTATCATGTGACATGCATAATAAAATATCATTTCAAATACTGTCAATCATTTGACATAATCCATGAAATAATTTAATTGTATTTTACCTTCATCTATTTTCTAACAGTAAAAACAATTATGACTTGACAATACTTTATTGCTTCACATTATTGTCTGGTGAAACCTTTATTCTAGGAGTGGAATAAATTATTTCTTCTCCGCACAGATATAATGCATTGGTTATTTTAAATATCAAACTCCTTTCATCAATTATAAATTTTTGTGAACTTATCAGTTTATTTAGACAGGAACATATATACCTCTCCTTCTGTGGGCTTGATTCCTAGCACTCGATTGTTATCAAATTCCTTGAGGTCTATACTTGGATGAAAGCTGCAATCATCCATCTGAACTTTGTTATAACCTAGGTAAAAGAATATCCACATATGAACATCAAACAATCAGACATACAGATATAAGTATCAGACAATAAATAATTTGGCCACAAAGTAATTGTTAACAGACAGTGAAAGCAACAGACATTTGGCTAGCGAAGTCTCATGTAAATTACATTTGATGCTTACGACTTTGCATTATAAATGGCAAAACTATTATAAGTTAGTATATGAGACTTAATTGAATCGGGCGTTAAGTTTTTGTTATACTTTCAAATGCCCATTCTGAACCTTGGTGCCACATAGCTGCAAACTTACACATGTTTTGAAAGAAGCATAAAACTTTTCAATTTTTTCCCTAGGCATCCTGTTCTATGGACATGCCTATACAGTACCACAATATACAAGTCCAAAGAAGATGCAAGTCAAATTAAAACAATACAGCCCACATAAAAACCATGTCCAATTCACAAGAGGCAATTCTTGCATAATAAGGTAAAAATATAAGAAGTGCTGAAATTATGGGAAAAATTCCTCAAGTCTAAATTTCAACATCTAAGGTGCCTTTTAAAATTACTGTTTAAACAAATCCATCATGAAAAACTCTGCTAAGAACTCCTGCAAATTTCATCCCTTACATTCCATACCTTTCTGCTTTCCCTTTGTTATTGTCAGATCTTCAGATAAACCCATCTTGATCACTGGAGCACCTGCTAAGAAACTTTTCATGTTAACTTGACCACTGACCTCAGCTCTAGACAGGGAGCCCTGAAATACATATAATGTAAATTGTCTATTTGGATGTGCAACATTATGCCCTAAAACCTTCACACACACTCTTTAGATAACATTTAATTGTTCAAAATACTTGCAACATGCAGATTCAAAAGATCATAACTGAAAGCAGATTAAGGGAGAGTATATGTCCTTCCCTTAGCTTCTGAGATCACACCTTTTCCTGCAGACAATATATATATATATATATATATATATATATATATTTTCATCCATGTGCCTTATTCATTATGGTAAAATGGTCCTCAACTACTGTCTGACATTTGCTAAGTGAGCAAAGCAAGTTTCCCACCCTCCATTCTCAGGAAAATCCTGAATCTACCATTTAAAATTTATTCTATGTGACTGAGTAAGATAGGTTTATGCTTAAGTATGTTTACCTTTCTTGATAGCAAAATTATTTTTAAATACATGTATATATATCATCTTGATTACAAATTCACGTTCAGAAGTGACACATATTTTGTCATTAGATCCCACAAAGACTATCCCAATGAACAGAACTTACATCAGCATCAACCACAGCTGTCACCCTTTCCACTATATCCACAAATATTTCATTGTTTCTCTTTTCCTGAAAAAGAAAATAAGATTAATTTGTGTATGGAATAACCTTTGTTGAAGCCTTTTTGGTGTTATTCACCTTATGGGATAATTGACCCTTATTGATGTGACTTACATATCTCAATGTACAAGCACCTGCAAGGCCCTAAGGTGTAGTGAATCAAAATAGTTGGATTGAAGCCATAATGGAGAGTTGAAAATGTCATAATGTAACAGAAATCACAACTGACATTCCTCTAAGGTTTTTATGTTTTTACATACAGATACTAAGTGTCTGTATATATTCTGATCGGTCAGCCATCCAACACATGCCCCATAACTGCCAAACCATATTTTTTTATTTTAAATTTACTGAGTTGCTTTGTTTGATAAAGAAGCAGGTTGCTTTTGAAATCTATGGTAGTTATTCTGTTTTTTTGCACAAATTTGGTGATGTTTGCCCCATAACTGCAAAATCATATTTTTGTTTTACATTAAATTTACTGACTGGCTTTGTTTGGCAAAGAAGCAGGTTCCCCAGCATTACCATATAATATAGAGTGCACTGTTTTGGAATAGGGACATCTCATCTTTTTTTCTTGCGCCATGATGCCACATTGTTTTTTAAAATTTGAAAAATGATAGTATTGTCTAAATAAAAATATTTAATTAATCCAATATGATAACATAAATGTGAGGTATGTAGGTTTCATATCATACTTTCTGGCCCCAAAAAATCAGAAATCTGCTGACAGTTGAAAAAATCCCATTACTGTCGTAAACATCAACACATCAACACCACCCAAAAAGTTGGTAATCTGGCGTGAGCATGTTATAAATAAATAAATAAATAAATAAATAAATAAATAAAGATGTTTCAAATCACTCCGACATCTGCCTAGCATAGCTTAACCTGCATTAGGATTTGACTGACTAGGTAATTTAACAGGACTGCTTGTGAAAATTAAGTTATAAGGAAAATTTTCAGAAGATTAACACCATGTAGTTTTTGAATAATCTAAATGTTTCTTTTTAAAATAAAATTTCAATTCCTTCATTGATTTCTCAAATACCTGATCTTGTCTGCTCCTTATGACTGGTTTATCTGCTGCATGGCTGGGTGCTACTCTGCGTTCAAGACCAAACTGAAAAAGTTTGACCAAAACCCTCATCACACCATCCATGCAGGGTATCAACTCCAATGCTTCATACTCAGCTTAATTGTACAACAAATGTTCATTTTTACCAACTTTTCCATTCATTCTGGTCCCTGCCTTGCCTTGTTTCTAAAATTGTCTACTTCCTGAATGTAGTTGGTTAAAAACTATGTAATGTTGGATATGACTTTGAATGGAGACTTGCACTTACCAAACCTGGCACCATAACATCTTGTGTTCCTTCAGATTTTACCAGCACAGGTTCACTTTGTACATATGGCTTCAACTTACTGGCAGACATCAGTTGAGCATAGCCAAAATCCTGAGGGTTTAAAGAATAATAAATTTTGGTTTTGGATAGATTTAAGACAGGAGCTCTTTTAGTAGAGATACATGAGTAATACCAAAATACATGTAGGTATGCCCGCCTAAAAGAGAAATGTCTTGTCAAGAATGAAAAGCAGCAGATTTTGAGTTTGCTGAGCAAAGTTTTATATGAATGAATTTAGAAATAACAGTAATGGAGTAGTAAAAAACAAGGGGTGGTATGTGAAAGGTCTACATACATGTATATGTTACACTTATTAAATATGCAGTCATGCAAAAAGCTACAAAAAAGTCCATCAAAATTATCTTTAAGTCATAATATCTCTCAAATCTTTGTTGAAAAATTCAAATAATTTGTTTGTTCTCCCTTTCAAAATAATTTAGAATGAAGTTTAATTTTATATGGCAGTTATTAGTGGAAAACACATCTGAAATGTACATGCAAGGCTTGACATTAAAGGTTGCGTGGTTGTGTTTTGCTCACAGGCAACCAAATCTTGATCAGCATTTGCCAGACTATGCAACTGATTCCATTTTGAATATTTTTCATTTATTGTATGTTTTATAGTATGTTTTATGCCACAGGCTGCTCTTGGTAACATGTACAGTAGTTTTTTGTGTTGATTATAAGATACCAATAAAATATATGCTACATTTTCTGTAATCTCTTTAATCTCTTTTTGTAAAAATACAGAGAAACTGGAATAACCTTTTATTTGGACTTCTTTTTGATTCTGGAATATCAGTTAAAAATAAAGATTTTTACATTGCATGCTTGATAACCCCTCCACTGAGATATTTAAAAAAAAAATTTAGTATAGCAACCAAACCAGCAGACCTGGTTTGCATTCCTAAGCAACCAAGTGAAAAAATTTAATGTCAACCCCTGTAATGCTTCAGCAACATACATAGTTTTGGAGGACACATGAATTAAAATTTTTGTTATATGTATGTTCTTCTTAAAAAATAGTCACTGCTATTATGCTTCTCAGTATTTTTTTTTAGTTGATGCATATACCACACATTTCATTATAAAATCATAAAAAACTAATTTTCAACATGTTCTTTTTTACTTAACTTACTAGAACTTCCCCCAGCAATTCATAGATAAGCACCATGTTAGCTTTGATTGTATCAGTGTTTATGACACCGCAGAAATCTTTGCAAAGATGATACACCCTGTAAGCAAATAAAAATAATATTCTGTTGCTAAAAAATTGCTTTACACATGTTTCAGTTCCACTTACATACAAATTTGATATCATATTTTTGTAATAAAATATTAAAATATCACCACAAAACTGCCAGACATAATAAGTCAAATATTCATTGTATGAAAAAACAAATACATATACTAATTAATCTAATATGCCAATGCCCACCTCTTGTCCTTGTTGGTTTTTGTTGTTATTAATTTTAACTGATAATATTTTCAGTTACAGTATTGGTCCAGGACTTTTAAACCAATGTTGGTTTGCCAAACTAGTATGAACTGATGTAAGTACAAAATATCTGCTGTATATTAAACAACCATGTCACCAATAATCAAAATCCATTCCTATATGTACCTTGAAAGAATTTCAATTACTAATATAGAAGATACTTCAGTGCCCTTTGTTGTAGCCACAAAGTATACTCCACTTCTTTTGATATAATAGTAATGGATATCCCCTTCCATCTGAAAGTAAAGCAATATTTGTAGCTTGAATGTACACTAGAAAAAGTTGGGCTCAGTGCTGATACCTAGCAACAAATATGTACTCGGTACAAGTTCATTACCTGTAGTATGTGCATTTTACATGCAGTGGCGGACCTGGGAGGGGGGGTCAGGGGGGTTCTGACCCCCCCCCCCCTTTTTGATTTCTGGTCTTCTCCTATAATTAGAAATTTGACTAGCTGAATCATAGTTCTAAACCATACCAAATGGCACCATTCGCCCTCTAAAATACCAAAATTTTTTGCAGCCCTTCAGCAGGTCCTGAACTCCACGCCAAGTTGGGGGGGGGATTCACATTAGGGGACCCCCCCCCTTCAAATAATCCTGGATCTGCCCCTGTATGTACTAGTAACACTGCTTACACTGGCAACTTCCAGTACAACATTGGCCTGACATGAAGATCACTGGTAGTGTATCCCACAATATGACTGGTTACAGGTATTAATTAGTACAAAATTAATCTTACTAAATGATGTCTACTAATGCATGAACTTTTCATGCCAGCATTCATACAGAAGATGGAGATACCGTTTCAAGGAGCAAATAATTACAGCAGAGTGTTAAGAATACACTGATGTTTCAACTCAGAAATTAAATAAAAACTCTTACAAAGTGAGGGGGTATCCTTGCTGCACTGTCTCCCTTGACTTTTGCAATGAATCCGCCACTAGACGACTTGCACACATCTTGTCTGACTAAGAATGTTAAGGTAAAAATGCTTCACCATTCCCTCTTATATCTACATTATCCTAGAGACCCTTTACACTAAAAGACCCATCCAACCTAAAAAAGATTTTTGGGGGAGTTGGCCAACTTGAGACCAAACTGCGGCTGTAGTGTAGTACCGGAATATTTAAAAAAATTACAACAGTTAAGCTGACAATAGCTATACATTAGTAAAGATACATTGTTTATCAACCAACACCTCGCCTTTCGATGAAACCAGTATGCATTCGGATAACATTTTCACTTATCAACGCCTGTTTTCATGTGTTTTTGGTTCAATAGCTCCCGTGCCCTCCCTTGTTTACATCCTGCAGGTGCTTGGGATCGAGTGCACCCAGACTCTCGCGATCCTGACGAGATCCAGCGCGAAACAGACAGCGTGACGTCATTTCTAGGATGAAATCAACAATTTCATTGCTGAATTGGAATACTGCAAAATAAGAGGTAGTTATTCTTTTTTCTGTTATATTTTGTGTTCCCTTTTCTCCGTTGAGCATCTTGTTGTGTGAATATATACACGAGTCTCATCTTTTAGGACTTAAAGCTTTGTAAATGTGCTGTCAAGAAGGAAATATTACTTCGTCCGGCGCTTTGTCGGCAACAACACTCGGCTTGGTTTGTGATTATGAATAACTTACTGTTAAGATAACCATGATCTACAAGCCGGTCGTATTGTTAATTAGTTTACTTTGCTTTTGATGTATGCTGTTCCTTGTTGTTCGATTGCTTGTTGTACAGCATTGTGTTACGCGATCCAGACATATTTTGCCAACAGCTATTGTGAGAGAAATTGGGTCAATCAATCCAATCAAATGTTTTTTTTCACGCACTTGTTATTTGGTAGCATAGAACAACAAAATGTGTTTATTGATTTATTTTACAAGTCATACCGCTTTTTAAGGAATCGTTAAAGGTAAATTTTCTTTTACTTCGTCAGTTTTTTTTATTTATTTCAATCTGAAATACCATCGCCCTTAGGTTTTTAGGCTTACGTGTTGCCCTAATTTAGAAAGGTCAACAACCTTTAGTTTGCCCTCTGGAATTCCTCTTGATTTAATAAACACTTTTTAGGTGAAGCATCAATTCTTAATGGCGCCCTTTTGTTATAGTATCAAAAGTTCTTTCCCCAGTTAGATTTATGGCTACTTGGATTTTTAAGAATTGTGCTAAAGAGTCAAAACAGATGTCTCACATTGAATTAGTATTGCTGCTTGGTTATTGATACATTTGATTAAAAGTTTACCTCATTAAAGGTTTAATTCTTGGATTAAGCTCTTAAAAATAACATGTTCATTCCTTCCTCAGGTGCATCGTATGTCAAGACAGAGGTCATAAAGAGATTTGTTATATATGTGTATGTGTGTGTTTGTATGTGTGTGTCAGTGTACAGATAGCAAGTAAATGAAATAAAACGTCTGAATATAAGATGCAACCTGGACCTGTACAGTATGTAGCACCTGGCATTTTTGCTTCATATGGTTGTGTCACATTGCATGATGTTATAAATGAAATGCATTCACCAAGGCTTCACTTTTGACAACCTTTTTTTCATAATTTGGGATATTTTAGATTTGCATCTTAGTCTTGCTACTCTGGTTGTTTATTTCATTCAGTGAGTATCAGAATTCATTATTATTTCAGCATGTACTATGGCTGACAACACAGGTGAAGAACCCAAAGTGATCAAGGAAGGATGGCTTTATAAAAGAGGTAATATATTCACAGTTTATATGTATTTACATGCACTACCATTAAATACAGACATTTATGTATCTGTGTATCTTTTTTGGGTTGTGCTAACTAGTTTTATCAACTAACCTTGTAGCACATGTCAGCTAGATGTTTTAAAATCAGATTGTTACTAGTAATGACATTTGAAAGAACTCATTAAGGCTTGGATGGAGAGCAGTAAGATAACAGACACTTAAATTGTTTTATGTATAGCACATACATTCCTGTTATTTTTTTTTTCTTAAATCATATTCTTCTATATCTCATAACACTAAGTTTTTAAAGACAGACAGTATGCCATAGAACTTCATATAACGAAAAATAAATCTGCCAGGAAACTAACTTCAACAATTTTCCCCTAATCACCAAGGCATACCCTATTTAAAATCACTTAGAAAATAAAGAACCTTAACATTATTTTTGAATATAGAACTTCTATATTATGATTAAGGTTGGCCTCTTCCAAAATAGACAGTTTCCAGAGTGCAAGTGTTGTAATGTCTCACAAGTTACTCATGAATGAACTACAATAGCTGTCCGAGACCCAGATTTTGTACTATAAGGTGCAAGAGAAATCTGCCAAGCATGGTACTAAAAGAGGTAGAAAGAAAACTGTAGCCACTCTAGTTACAAAAACTCATAAAATGGTTAAAGACAGGAAAATGTACTAAAACAGTCTTTGTTGTAGGTGAGGTGGAAAAAGCTAAAAATTTGTGAATATTAGTACCAAAAACTGTTTGCAAAGAAAAAATGAGCAAAAAATGTGCTGCATTCCTTATAAAAAGCATAATTGTGATCCCTGATTGCTTTTCAGTTAAATGTATACAAACAAATCATGGTATTAAATTACAATTATTTGAGATTTAGTTGTAATCTGAATTCACTATCTACATAACTTTACCTCTTTGTTCTGACTGTAACTTTGAGTCTGAATTTTCTCTTTCAGGTGAGCGTCAAAATGCTAAGTACTGTTGTTTTTAAAATTTTGTACATTCTAGAAGCCTAGTTTGAACAGAAATTAATATGAAATTCAGAATAATAAAAAATAATCTCCTGCAACACAAATATTTTCAAAATTGCGGACAACCTAAATACTAAATACTGTCTACTGCACATTATCTGAATTTAAAACCTCTTTCAAATTATTATTACTAGTATCATTATTTTGGGAGAGAGTTGCATTCTAATACTTTCCATGACATCCTCTGTCATGACTCAGTGCATTCATTTCCTGTACTTGCCCATCATCAGAAATTATCTGCCTACTTCATCATAACCAACACACATCTATCTGATAATTAAGTACCAGACAAGAGGAAGTACAATGTCATAGGCTTAACTACTCATCCTAAAGGTGCATACATAACATGTCTCCCAGTCAGACCCTATTCACAACAGAACTAAGACAAGAAATAGTCTGGGCTCCGTAACTCGAAAGCATTGTGTATTGCGAATAGCAATATCACATAGAGGCTACAATGTATTATATGGGGCGAGTACGGGCGAGTTACGGAATCGAGGCGCTTGTGCTCGGTCGCAATGCACGATGCTTTTGAGTTACGAGGCCCAGATGACGAGATTACGCAGAGACACAATAAGATCTCACAATTATCTTAATATGAACTAAACATTTCCTTATTTCATTATGCTACTAATGTATTTGTTTGGTCGTAGCCTTTGTAAAATGCGCTAGAACCAATAAAGATTATTATAATTTCAATTTGAAGTCTCCTGTTTAAAGCCTAGGGTATTCATTATTAACAATTGATAATAATAATAATAAGAATAATAACAACAAAAAATAAATAAATAAATAAATAAATAAATAAATAAATAAATGAAAAATAATAATAGTAAAATTTCAGGTATTTTGTTGATTGATTGACTTGCCAAGTCAAATACCCCCCCCCCCTTCCCTACTGAAAAATGGATTTAATGAATGTTTTTTTTTTTGTCCTGAATATAAGTTTGTAGACAAAACTGGAATGTACACTGATGCATGTTTGAGCAGAAATGTTTATTATCAGGCGAAGCTATTAAGATATGATATATGCTGCATATACTGAAACCTTTCAGATCAATTTTCAAATAAGTTGACAAGGTAGATCAATGAAACTGACAAATTGTAAGCACCAATCACAGAATCCAGTCTAAGATTCCATGTAAATGATCCTTGTTTAATGAAGCATTGGTTATTTATAGTGCCTTCCACTCCCCCCACCTGTCCCCTCCACCCCCCTTTTCTACGCCTCACAGGTCTGTATGCCCTTGGGAGGACTGGGCTATATTTTACACACAGGAAGACAACTGTTTTTGAGTTGGTAAACATTAAGACAGTGCTACAAGTGGTACATTTATTGTTATATACATGCAGCAAGTTTAAACAGAAGGCTCCCGTAGAAAATAGTGTTTAAAAATCATTATCTGTATCTGAACTTGCTGTTAAAAAGATGTTCTGTGGTTTTGGTTGGATGATTTGTCAAGTAATAGTACAAGGTTGGGAAATTTTATCCATTTGAAGATTTTCTGTCTTTTTGTGCTCAACAGAGTTGAGAAATTTGCACATATTTCATATTGAAAGGCATTGTGAGGGTATATGATTTTGTGACTCTTCCTTGTACATTATGTNTCATTCCCTCTTATGTCTACATTATCCAAGAGACCCTTTACACTAAAAGACCCATCCCACCTAAAAAAGATTTTTGGGGGAGTTGGCCAACTTGAGACCAAAACTGCGGCTGTAGTGTAGTACGGAATATTTAAAAAAAATTACAACAGTTAAGCTGACAATAGCTATACATTAGTAAAGATACATTGTTTATCAACCAACACCTCGCCTTTCGATGAAATCAGTATGCATTCGGATAACATTTTCACTTATCAACGCCTGTTTTCATGTGTTTTTGGTTCAATAGCTCCCGTGCCCTCCATTGTTTACATCCTGCAGGTGCTTGGGATCGAGTGCACCCAGACTCTCGCGATCCTGACGAGATCCAGCGCGAAACAGACGTGACGTCATTTCTAGGATGAAATCAACAATTTCATTGCTGAATTGGAATACTGCAAAATAAGAGGTAGTTATTCTTTTTTCTGTTATATTTTGTGTTCCCTTTTCTCCGTTGAGCATCTTGCTGTGTGAATATATACACGAGTCTCATCTTTTAGGATTTAAAGCTTTGTAAATGTGCTGTCAAGAAGGAAATATTACTTCGTCCGGCGCTTTGTCGGCAACAACACTCGGCTTGGTTTGTGATTATGAATAACTTAGTGTTAAGATAACCATGATCTACAAGCCGGTCGTATTGTTAATTAGTCTACTTTGCTTTTGATGTATGCTGTTCCTTGTTGTTCGATTGCTTGTTGTACAGCATTGTGTTACGCGATCCAGACATATTTTGCCAACAGCTATTGTGAGAGAAATTGGGTCAATCAATCCAATCAAATGTTTTTTTCACGCACTTGTTATTTGGTATCATAGAACAACAAAATGTGTATATTGATTTATTTTACAAGTCATACCGCTTTTTAAGGAATCGTTAAAGGTAAATTTTCTTTTACTTGGTCAGTTTTTTTATTTATTTAAAACTGAAATACCATCGCCCTTAGGTTTTTAGGCTTACGTGTTGCCCTAATTTAGAAAGGTCAACAACCTTTAGTTTGCCCTCTGGAATTCCTCTTGATTTAATAAACACTTTTTAGGTGAAGCATCAATTCTTAATGGCGCCCTTTTGTTATGGTATCAAAAGTTCTTTCCCCAGTTAGATTTATGGCTACTTGGATTTTTAAGAATTGTGCTAAAGAGTCAAAGCAGATGTCTCACATTGAATTAGTATTGCTGCTTGGTTATTGATACATTTGATTAAAAGTTTACCTCATTAAAGGTTTAATTTGTGGATTAAGCTCTTAAAAATAACATGTTCATTCCTTCCTCAGGTGCATCGTATGTCAAAACAGAGATCATAAAAAGATGTGTTATATATGTGTATGTGTGTGTTTGTATGTGTGTGTCAGTGTACAGATAGCAAGTAAATGAAAAAAACGTCTGAATATAAGATGCAACCTGGACCTGTACAGTATGTAGCACCTGGCATTTTTGCTTCATATGGTTGTGTCACATTGCATGATGTTAAAAATGAAATGCATTCACCAAGGCTTCACTTTTGACAACCTTTCTTTTATAATTTGGGATATTTTAGATTTGCATCTTAGTCTTGCTACTCTGGTTGTTTATTTCATTCAGTGAGTATCAGAATTCATTATTATTTCAGCATGTACTATGGCTGACAACACAGGTGAAGAACCCAAAGTGATCAAGGAAGGATGGCTTTATAAACGAGGTAATATATTGACAGTTTATATGTATTTACATGCACTACCATTAAATACAGACATTTATGTATCTGTGTATCTTTTTTGGGTTGTGCTGACTAGTTTTGTCAACTAACCTTGTAGCACATGTCAGCTAGATGGTTAATCAGATTGTTACTAGTAATGACATTTGAAAGAACTCATTAAGGCTTGGATGGAGAGCAGTAAGATAACAGCCACTTAAATTGTTTTATATATAGCACATACATTCCTGTTATTTTTTTTTTCTTAAATCATATTCTTCTATATCTCATAATACTAAGTTTTTAAAGACAGACAGTATGCCATAGAACTTCATATAGCAAAAAAATAAATCTGCCAGGAAACTAACTTCAACAATTTTCCCCTAATCACCAAGGCATACCCTATTTAAAATCACTTAGAAAATAAAGAACCTTAACTCCATTTTTGAATATAGAACTTCTATATTATGATTAAGGTTGGCCTCTTCCAAAATATACAGTTTCCAGAGTGCAAGTGTTGTAATGTCTCACAAGTTACTCATGAATGAACTACAATAGCTGAGACCCAGATTTTGTACTATAAGGTGCAAGAGAAATCTGCCAAGCATGGTACTAAAAGAGGTAGAAAGAAAACTGTAGCCACTCTAGTTACAAAAACTCATAAAATGGTTAAAGACAGGAAAATGTACTAAATGTGAGGTGGAAAAAGCTAAAAATTATGTGAATATTAGTACCAAAAACCGTTTGCAAAGAAAAATTGAGCAAAAAATGTGCTGCATTCCTTATAAAAAGCATTATTGTGATCCCTGATTTCTTTTCAGTTAAATGTATACAAACAAATCATGGTATTAAATTACAATTATTTGAGACTTAGTTGTAATCTGAATTCACTATCTACATAACTTTACCTCTTTGTTCTGACTGTAACTTTGAGCCTGAATTTTCTCTTTTAGGTGAGCGTCAAAATGCTAAGTACTGTTGTCTTTAAAATTTTGTACATTCTAGAAGCCTAGTTTGAACAGAAATTAATATGAAATTCAGAATAATAAAAAATAATCTCCTGCAACACAAATATTTTCAAAATTGCAGACAACTTAAATACTAAATACTGTCTACTGCACATTATCTGAATTTAAAACCTCTTTCAAATTATTATTACTAGTATCATTATTTTGGGAGAGAGTTGCATTCTAATACTTTCCATGACATCCTCTGTCATGACTCAGTGCATTCATTTCCTGTACTTGCCCATCATCAGAAATTATCTGCCTACTTCATCATAACCAACACACATCTATCTGATAATTAAGTACCAGACAAGAGGAAGTACAATGTCATAGGCTTAAGTACTCATCCTAAAGGTGCATACATAACATGTCTCCCAGTCAGACCCTATTCACAACAGAACTAAGACAAGAAATAGTCTGGGCTCCGTAACTCGAAAGCATTGTGTATTGCGAATAGCGATATCACGTAGAGGCTACGATGTATTATATGGGGTGAGTATGGGCGAGTTACGGAATCGAGGCGCTTGTGCTCGGTCGCAGTGCACAATGCTTTTGAGTTATGAGGCCCTGATGACGAGATTGCGCAGAGACACAATAAGATCTCACAATTATCTTAATATGAACTAAACATTTCCTTATTTCATTATGCTACTAATGTATTTGTTTGGTCGTAGCCTTTGTAAAATGTGCTAGAACCAATAAAGATTATTATAATTTCAATTTGAAGTCTCCTGTTTAAAGCCTAGGGTATTCATTATTAACAATTGATAATAATAATAATAATAATAATAATAATAATAATAATAATAATAATAAATAAATAAATGAAAAATAATAATAGTAAAATTTCAGGTATTTTGTTGATTGATTGACTTGCCAAGTCAAATACCCCCCCCCCCCCTTTCCCTACTGAAAAATGGATTTAATGAATGTTTTTTTTTTGTCCTGAATTTAAGTTTGTAGACAAAACTGGAATGTACACTGATGCATGTTTGAGCAGAAATGTTTATTATCAGGCGAAGCTATTAAGATATGATATATGCTGCATATACTGAAACCTTTCAGATGAATTTTCAAATAAGTTGACAAGGTAGATCAATGAAATGTAACTAAAGTCTGACAAATTGTAAGCACCAATCACAGAATCCAGTCTAAGATTCCATGTAAATGATCCTTGTTTAATGAAGCATTGGTTATTTATAGTGCCTTCCACTCCCCCCACCTGCCCCCTCCACCCCCCTTTTCTACGCCTCACAGGTCTGTATGCCCTTGGGAGGACTGGGCTATATTTTACACACAGGAAGACAACTGTTTTTGAGTTGGTAAACATTAAGACAGTGCTACCAGTGGTACATTTATTGTTATATACATGCAGCAAGTTTAAACAGTAGGCACCCGTAGAAAATAGTGTTTAAAAATCATTATCTTTATCTGAACTTGCTGTTAAAAAGATGTTCTGTGGTTTTGGTTGGATGATTTGTCAAGTAATAGTACAAGGTTGGGAAATTTTATCCATTTGAAGATTTTCCGTCTTTTTGTGCTCAACAGAGTTGAGAAATTTGCACATATTCCATATTGAAAGGCATTGTGTGGGTATATGATTTTGTGACTCTTCCTTGTACATTATTTTTTTATTTTTTTATTTTTTGTCATTTCGAAATTGTTTTTTTTTTTTTAGGAGAACACATCAAGAATTGGCGACCTAGGTATTTTATTCTAAGGGAGGATGGCTCATTTTTGGGATTCAAGCAGAAGCCTGACCATAATCTAGCTGATCCACTTAACAATTTCACAGTCAAAGGTGAGTTCATCTTCATAGCACCTTTGTTGCACCTGGCATACAGTTACACCAAGCTATCATGTAAAACAGTCTTCCACAGCCGCCAGTCTCATCCAACATCCTGCCAAGGGTGACACACTCAAGGATGTCTACGCCAGTCTAAGTCACCGGTCTACAGCAATTGACTGGTAGCTTTGATGTCAGACTTGCAAACGGATTAGATTTTCTTCAGGCATCTTGATAATAGGAAGTTTTGATTTCTAGTTTTTTTCAGGTCTACACAGGTGAACAGAAAGCACAAAGACCACTGCTTATATTTGTGCCTTTCATGCACGAGCAGGCACGCACACACGCACGCGCGCGCGCACACACACACACACACACACACACCATATTTATGTGTATGTCAGTATTTTAGTGAGAGAGAGAGAGAGAGAGAGAGAGAGAGAGAGAGAAGAACTCCCCTGATACTTGGGTTGATTAAGTGCAGATGATATCATGGGTAGTCCAGATATAAGACATGCTGAAGTTGACTGTTTCTCTGACAGTGACTCCCAAATATGACTGCATATTTTAAATTTGCTTTTGATTTAAAGTTATTTTACTGAACAAGAAAATATTTAACTGCAACTAGGGTATAAGAAATGTTAAAAAGGACATTAAGATATTAACTTGAATTGGACAAAATCTATAAAAAAGGTTGTATCTGTTGTAGGTGCTCACTCCCATTGCCCTCTGTTATCACAGGTCTGATAACAAGTTTACTTGACGACCTCATCAAGTCCAAGCCCGATATATTATGTGGTCAGCACTTCAATCCCTCTAACCCTTACACGTCAGAACTCTCTTCATTACTTTTTTCAAATATTTATTTCTGGCAGGCTGGTTATAATATATGCGACAGAATTCAGAGTAATTTGCATACCACTTATACAGTAGTTTGTAACAGTTGGCTAACTGCTTTGTAATTTAGTTTTATCTCTGAGCTTAAACACATAAATGAATATGTGAGTATTTGCACGTCACCAGTAAATAAATAGCTTTGTAATTTATTTTCATCCTGATTCCATATACTAAAACATACAAGTGAATAATTATATATGTTAGTTAAACATGTTACCTTATAATTGCATATATGGGGACCCTGGAGTTTGAACAGGTTTGGAGACGCTGAAATAGAAAATACAGAATGCAATAAAGCCCAACAGTTCTCTGTTTTTCCCTGTCACAGTGTTCTCCTTTGTGGTGTAATTATACCCAAGAGGGACGAAAACATTGTGGGAATGATGATTTTTTTTTTTTTTTTTTTTGGAAAGTTATATGTGAACAATTTCGAAGGAGATGATAATTTCACTATTTTCTCTTCAGGTAATTTTCCTCAAGGCTATTCACAGTAATCTTCTTCCCTTATCAGTATAAAATCAATGGTCCTTTGCTAATTGATAAGCAACTGGCTCCATTTTAGGGATTTGACTATCATGTACACTAATAAACATGTCATGGAATTCAGTGAGGGTTATTTAAACTACCTCCACCTGAAGTTGTGTCTGCTACTGCATAACCCCATAACAGAAAAACATCAGCAGATTGTTGTTTTGCAGAAGATAAACAGCTTTGTGTGAAGTAGGTCACTGGATTTAAGGTCAAGCACATATTATATATTTATTAATGGCATCAAAATACAAGTTTGACCTTGGAATGTGACTTTGTACCACATAACCTTTTTGGATGTGAGGTATGGTCCAGTGGTGGTTTTGATAATGACATCAATTGGGTTTGTCTCGACCACATTTGCATGCGAAGTGCTTGGCCAGTGGTGATTACATGCAATATGTCTGGCCTTAGTTGAACTTGTTCAGATGTTTTTT